CCCGGGGAGAGAGGATAGCAATTGTCCTGCAGCAAGAGCAATAACAACAACGGACAATATGACAGCGCGGAGCCAGGACTGTATCCGGAGCGAGTTCCGCGCCGGCGAACCCACTCGGTGGCCGACGAGAATAATGCGCCCTCCACTGTCTGTCAGCGATTTGAATGCTTCAGCAGAATAATGCAGGATAATGCAGGATGATGCAGGCCTCCTCTAGTTGAGATGCGCAACCGGCGCGGATCCCGCGCTTTTTGCGGTGTACAAAAAGTCGCTTTCCGCCAGATTAGCGGCGACGAGGATACAGGCCCGTCTTGTGGAGAACGCGATAGCCGCGCGGATCGAAGGTTTGGGTGCCGTCGCCGTGAGTGTGGCCCAGCTTTTGCCCCCCCCTCCCCGAGAGGAGGGTGATGTGAGCATACACGAAGAAAGTGAACGCGAAAGCTACCGCGAGCAACAATCGCTTCGCGTCGTTTGGTCAGTCGCACACGGCGAGCAGCATGACACACCAGGATATACGCCCCGGTACTCAAGTTAATGAGATCCTTCCCAGTAGAGAGGAATGAGCAAGGGATTACGTGAAATTGCAGAGGTTGTACCGGACCGGCCGTAAGCGCGCGATCGGGGAGATACTCCACTAGCTCTCCCCTTCCTGTGAGTTGCCCGAGGCAATGTACAGAGACAAACAAGGGCTCTGTACAGAGACCTCTGCGCGGACGGAACGCTCTGGTCTACTCCCTTCGTTCTGTTATTCGGCGGAATCTTCCGTCGATTCGAGCGATGCACTAATCATCTCTCTCGAGTCGTCTGAGGTGCTTTGTCGGCTCAGGAGGATGCATAAATCGTCTCTTGGACACGATGCAGTCAGAAAGCTGCGTTCTTAACCGCTCATTTTAAAGTTTGTTTCCGAGTAGAACACATTCCCCTCGGCTGGAAAGAGAATTTAATTGTATTTATTTACAGAAAGAACTCTCCAGAATACCGAAGTAACAGGCAGCCCATTACGATAGGCAATATCGTCGTCTAACTGTTCGCCGCTTTGCTGGCTGATCGCCTTACACGTCAGGGTTCCGCGAACAAACGTCTCAGCCGTGCCCAGAAGGGATATATTCCGCATGAGGTGCCTTGAACACTCCTTGATGTTGCAGCGATGTTGTGCGATGGAGTGCGCTCACAATCAGAAGAGAGAGATGGTGTTCTCATTCGCCTCGGACCCACACGAGGTCTTCGAACGCAGCCTTGTCGACACCACCGTGCACGAAAGTGTTGTCGATATAGTTTCCAGCCTTTATAACGGCTTCACGGTATGCGTGAGGACCCGCGACGAGTACACTGACCTCATCCTCATGCTGTCGACGGTGCGACGGAGCTGCCACTTGTGCCCGATAACCTTTGACCTGGTTTTCGACTGGTCCTAGCGGCAATGAATTCGAGAGCTAGGTTTGAGAGTGACACCCCTGGCGTACGCGGATGGCATTTCGTTGTTCGAACTTCCGCAGCATGGGGCTACTTCTTTTGACGGTTGAGTCTGTTGCAAGGTCGTTGAGACTCTACTTCAACACTTTTAATTGCGCGACACTGCAAAGCGGGACCAGGAAAGAGCCGACCCCCCCGTCCTTTCATCTCGCGTGCTAACAGTTTCCAGTATATGACAAGGAGATATCTGCGTCCACCTGAGCGTCCCCACGGGAGTCCGCATCGATCAGAATTAGTACCGCGCCATCTGAGACCTACTCGCCGACTTGTAGGAGGTCAGCACGTTATTGCTCTTCCCCTGGCAGAAGATCGAGACAGTTGCGACGTTACTGTTGCCGCACATTGACATCTTGTTGAGGGGTAGAGCCGTCCGGGAATCGCCATTAGCGGAGCCTGTCTGGATCCTAAAGCGTATGGTGAAAGGATGGTTGAACTTCGCCCAACATGTCAGCGCAGAAGTGGTCTTCATTACCCCCTCCTGGGGGATACGGGCTCCCTCCGTTGGCGGAAACTTCGGACGTTGTCGCCGTGGCCCATGCTTTCAAAATTCTAAACGCAGATGACCTGGCGGTTGCAGGCTTTGCGAGATCGACATTGGAAAACGTCGTCCGCTTGAAAATGCGGTGGACGCCTAACGAGGAGGACATCGCCTGATACCTTTTTCTCGAGGAGGAACTGTCGTTGCTGTCCACCAGTCTCGCGTCGTTTTGATCGCGGTTCAGATTAGCAGCTTTGAGGCGATTCGGCTTCTTTTGGCGCTGGTATCCTGCTTGATATATGCTCTCGCTGGAGTGCCCAACAGACGGTGTTCTGAGAGTGATCATTCCTCCGAACGCCAAGCGGCAAGTCATAGGCCGAATGAGGGCCGCTGTTTCGGAGCACTACATGTCCGCGTTTATCGCGAATCCGGAACAGGGCAAAATCTTTGGCGCGACTTCTCGTCATGGAACGAGCAATCACTTCATACGGACAGGTCAGTACCGTTTCACCGACTGGCGCTTTGTGCATCGCGCACGCCTCGACGTGCTTCCCATAAATGGGGTGCCTCGATGGGGCGAAGGTGACCGGAGATGCCTGCGGTGCGGGTACCAATTGGAGATGTTGCCCCACATGCTTTGTCTCTGCGGCCCCCAAGCGGCCTTTTGGCAATTACGCCACAATGCTTTTTTCGAGAAGCTTGAAGCGGCCTCCAGGCTACCCGGGGAATCGTGGATTAACACCCACGCACTGCGTCCCGCGCCTCGGCGAAGAACTGCGGGCATTGCGTCCTGTAGTTGACGCACGAGCCGTCCAGGACTATCGTCGTGATCGATGTTACCGTGTCTTTCGAGTATAAGTTCGATTCGCTCGAAAGTGCAGGGATCGACAAAATCCACATATATCAGCCGCTTGCGGAGACATTGAGAAGACGCGGGTACATCGTTAACGTCCAGGGCTTCGTCGTGGGCGCCGTGGGCGTCTGACACTCTCACAACAACAGTCTCACCTCTTTGCTGCGATACGCGACTTTGATGAGTCGGCGCATGTTCTCGGAGACCATCGCGTGGCCCCGGGACGTACAAGCCGAGCACATCTCGGGCATCCGGCAGTACCGTGTGATGGGATCGACAGCGCAGGACGAGGCATCTCTCACGATCATGCAAACGCATGCTTCCGTTCACGAAAATCAATCCGCGATCGACGCGAACAATTTAAACGTAGACGTCTCCGAGGCCATGAGAGCGCAGCCACTCTCGAGCCCTCAGCCATAACCAGAGTCGACGCACGAGCCTTGGTGCCGGCGAAGACTGGAGCATTTCCCCCTCTTATCATTTTTTTGTTTTGTTTTGTTTGTCATTTCATCTAACTGTTAATGTAATTCTGTACACTTCATTTCCAATAGCACTTGAAAATATACTAGACATAATATACAATAGCTTTCTTCCTCGATGCGAGTGCTCCACTCCTCGCTGACTCTACTTTAATTTTAATTTTAATTTCATTTCATTCGCTATGCCTTCCTGTCTCTGGTTATGTGTATCTTTATCTATTTTCAATTTTTCTCTTTATTATTATTTATTTCACATTAATTT